ATCACCTTGGCTAACACCATTTGCCCCACCCTGGTATTTCTCTGAGACCCCACCCCACTCTACTCGAATTTCCGAGTGCTTCCAATGGATCTTCCACACAAGTGGCCTGCCGTGGCTCACACTATGGATTTACCTAAAATCCCTCAAAGTTCCAAAAACCCCAAACAAGCAGCAGTTAGCCTGGCACAAGAGGGAATATATCTCAACTTGCACTGTAATTCCCATCAGGGGGCCCCAAGCCTGACAAAACTGGCCAGTGTTGACTTGGAACTAACTTCAACTAAATGGCCATGAGCCCAGCACACGTGGTGCCCGTGTCAGCACACACTGTGGTGCCACCAAAGGGTCCCAAGACTGACGCTAGTGGCAACCAGCCTTGATTCACAGCACAGCCTCTTTCAAGTGCCTACAAGCCCAGCACAAGTGGCAACAAACCACAAAGACTTTGTAGCTCTGACCAGATGGCCTCAAGCCTGCACTGGAGCCCCTCCTAAGAAGCTCCAGAACCAACACACCAGGGGCCAGCTTTAGACTGTATCGGGGCACCACCAACTAGCTCCACAAATGGCTCAACTGCAGGGTGGAAGCAGCTGGCAACAAAGCCCCACTAAAACGACTCCCACTATGTGTTTAGCCTCCACACAATAGCTTGTCTGCTTTAGTCATGTAGCCTGAAGGTCAATCCCACCAACCTGATGTGCCAACAGGGCTCTACACTGGAGGGCATACACAACCCACAGAAGGGACACTCCTGTAGCACCTGGCTCATGTGATCAGGGAGACTGTGCCACTGGGCCCCACAAGACACTATATAAGACCATTCTACCAAGACTGGGAGATAGCAGATCTACTTAACACATAGAAGCAAACACAGGCAACCAAAATGAGGAGACAAAGAAACACACCCCAGATAAAAGAACAGGAGGAAACTCTAGAAGAAGAACTAAACAAAATGGAAACTCTAGATGCAGAGTTTAAAACACAGGACTGAATTATTGATCTGGAAGACAAGGTAGTGGGAAACACCCGATTGGAACTGCAATAAGAAAGAATATTTTAAAATGAGGATAGTTTAAAGGATAATGTAAAGAATAGCAACATTTGCATCATGGGGGTACCAGCAGGAGAAGAGGGAGAACAAGGGATTAAAAACCTACTTGAAAGAAATAATGACTGAAAACTTCCTAATCTGGCAAAGGAAATAGACAGACAAGTCCAGGAAGCACAGAGAGTCCCAAACAAGACGAACCCAAAGAGGCCCTCACCAAGACATATCATAATTAAAATGCCAAAGGTTAAAGACAAAGAAAGAATCTTAAAAACAGCAAGAGAAAATAATTCCATTACCTTTAAGGGAGCTCCCATAAGACTGTCAGCTTATTTCTCAACAGAAACTTTGCAGCCAGAAGGGATTGGCACAAAATATTAAAAGTCATGAAAAGCAAGGACCTACCACAAAGGTTACTCTATATCATTATAATTAAAGCAGACAAGAAAAAGCTAAAGGAGTTCATCACCACTAAACAAGTGTTATAAGAGATGTTAAAGGGACAGAATGGCTATCATCAGTAACCAAACAAGTGTTAGCAAGGATGTGAAGACAAAGAGAAGCCTTGTGCACTGTCGGTGGGATTATAAATTGGTACAGCTGCTGTGGATAATGGTATGGAGGTTCCTCAAAAAATTAAAAATAGAACTACCATGTGACCCATAAATCCCACTTCTGGGTATTCATCCGAAGAAATTGAAAACATTAATTAGAAAAGACATATGCAGCATTATTTACAATAGCCAAGATACTGAAGCAACCTAGGTGCCCATGGATAGATGAGTGGATAAAGAAGGTGTGGTACATATATACGAAGGAATATTACTCTGCCATAAAAAGAATGAAATCTTGCTATTTGCCACAACATGGATGAACCTAGAACAGTGATGGCGAACCTATGACACGAGTGTCAGAGGTGACACGCGAACTCATTTTTTTGGTTGATTTTTCTTTGTTAAATGGCATTTAAATATATAAAATAAATATCAAAAATATAAATCTTTGTTTTACTATGGTTGCAAATATCAAAAAATTTCTATATGTGACACGGCACCAGAGTTAAGTTAGGGTTTTTCAAAATGCTGACTCGCCGAGCTCAAAAGGTTCGCCATCACTGACCTAGAGGGTATTATGCTAAGTGAGATAAGTCAGACAAAGACAAATACCATATGATTTCACTTATATTTGGAATCTAAAAACAAAATATAGGAAAAAACAAAACAGAAATAAACTTTCAACTTTACACTTTAAACAATCAGGTAAATTATAAAATAATAGTGTACATGTCTACTTTTATAAATTAAATATTCTCTTAATTAGGGAAAATCTATTAGTGGTTGGGGGTAGTTGGGGAGGGAAAAGGGAATAACGCTGGTGGGTTTCTTTTTGGGGTGAGGAAAATGTTCTAGAATTAGGTGGTGGTGTTGATTGGACAATGTAAGCAAATACTAAACACCACCATATCATATACTTTCAAAAGCTGAATTTTATGGTATGTGAGTTAGTTTTTTTTTTAATTGCCTCTCCCATCTGCTTCCCCAAGCGCTCAGACCCCAGGACTATGGGGGTGTGCTGGGTGACCTGTGTGTGTCCTCTGCAGACTCCTCATCGACATGGTGCCCAGGGTGAGGCAGACGCGCCACTACGAGATGTTTGAGTGAAGGGCCCGAGCGCCTGTCTGCATCTGCATGAAGACATCAGGACGACGAGAGGGTCCCACACGGCGGACGGTGCCAGTATTTAGCTGAACATCCACTTTCTTATTTGGAGAGTTTGTGTTCACGGGAACAGGCGTGCCCAGCAGGTTGGTCTGCACTGCTCCCCTCGCCCACCTCCCCCGTCACCCCATCAGGACGCCGTGCACAGGAGGGGACACTGGTTTTCCCATGCCCATTGGGAACTGGCTGTTTCTGTTTTCTGGAGTAAAAAGGTTCCTGTGGGTCGGATAAGGTCTCTGCTTGGCAGGAAGTTCTGAAACAGAGCCACTGACCACACCCACCTCCTCTGGGCATGGAGCAGCTCGGGCCCTCGGAGCTCATCTCTCCGGCAGAACTGAAGGGAAGACCGTGTGTACCCTTCTGTCCCTCACCCTTCACATGCCCAGAACCGTCAGTGTCGCACTTCCTAATTCCTATCACTGTATTTCATTAGTTTCATACTGTTTTACTAATCCTGAATCTAAACAGATTGGTTCAAAAGGAGATCGTTCTATTTTTAAAGTATTTAGTGATGTACGTGTGAGCTTTGCATGGACGAACTCAGCACATGACCCTTTCTTGTACATCAGAACCTGCACACACATGTAAAAACAGGACCCGTTTTTGACAGATGTGAAACCACCATTTATTTGTAATAAATAATTACACAATCTACCCACATGTGCAGGCATCTCTGTGTTGTGTCAGGTGGCCGTGGTACTCTGGCCTGTGAGAGGCGGCTGTCAGGACGAGCTGTCTGCAGCTTAGCTAACGTTAGGTATCAGTTCTGTGAGAATGGTCCCCACACCCATCGGTACTGTAGCACTTGCTGCTTGCCCAGGCGACTGTCCGGCCAGCAGAGACCGCGCCCTGTTTTGTGTGGCCTGAGAGGTGACCTTTGAGAGCTGTCCCCATCACAGGCAGGCTTGCTGTGAGGCTGAAGGACGACATGGAAGGGTCGCTTGTTCCGGGTGGAGTGTGAGTGGAGACCCTGAAGACTGTGGGTTGCGTCTGTGGGGAGGCCACCCATCGCTCAGGGGAGGAATGGCCACACACTGATGTGGTGGTGCCCGAGGCCTTGGAGCTGACCTTGCCTGGGACTGAGGGATGGTTGTCCCAGACCCTAACTCCCCCTCCCACTGCTCTGCTTCAGGCTGATGAAGGGGAGGTGGTTTGGTCTGGGGGCCCCTGACCTTGGTGCAGCCTGGCGCTGTCGGCCAGCTTCCTCCACAGCGCGTTGCAGAGGGCTCTGCAGGACATGAACACGGACCTGGTAAAGGGCCAACTGCTCAAGGAGGTCTGGGGATGGCAGATTCAGTGGTGTCTTTCCTGCAGGTTTCCTGTGTATTTAATACAGCATGGAAGCTCCGAGGGAAGCTAGGATGTAGCCCCCCCTAAATGTGCACGCTCGCCTTCTTCTCGGACCTTTCTGGGATTGGTGTACAGGAATCATGCCGTACCTGTGACTCCGTATCCAGGAACTGTGTGCTGTCCCTGCTCTGGGCAGAGCGTGAGAGGCTGTGCTGAGGCTGGGCCACGCCTTCCCCCAGCACCACCTGCAGCAGCCCCTGGTGTGCCCACAGACATGATCTTGTTTCCAGAGCAGGTGCCTAACCCAGTGCTCGTGAGGGAAATGCATCAGGTCTAACAGGCCCTCACCTTTTTAGGACTGTTTCTCTAGCACATCCTTAATGATGTTCAAGCATCTGGTGTAGTACAGTTATCTCAAAAAAAAATAAAAAAAAAGGCCCCGTCTAGGGAGTGTTCTGAGATGAGTATGGGTGGATGTGAGGCAGGGAAAGAACACACCAGTGAAACCGTCCTCCACTCCTTAACCGTCACGGTCTCTCAGCATTTCCGGCGGTGTCTGCAAACGGTGAGACGCGGGCAGTGGACGCCAGCGCTGGGGTGCAGCTGCGCTGTGTCCTGCAGGTGACCCTGCACCCACCCGGCCCCCCAAAGATCACTCCTACCTGTCACACAAGAAAAGTTTATTGAAAAATAAAGTTCTCCCTAGTTTTGTCTACAACAGTGGAAAACAAAGCAGTGCTCTATGCAGGTACAGTACGTTGGGACGTGTGGACAGCGACACCTCGTTGGCAGAACCCTGCACCAAACCCCAGAGTGAACCAGGCGCTGTTTGAAGACACAGATGTGAACGGTCATTAGCTTAGAGACATCAAGTTGTGACAGCAACTACAGTAGAAGGGACATCACCATCTCCTTTGGCATCGACTGTTCCACTGTTGTCCTATTAACACCTGGGCAGGACAGTGAGCAAAATGCTTCCCAACTTTGCTCCGTCTCCCCTTGGGCAGAAGTGGCAGACTACCTAGTTCCCATGCCGCAGTCCCAGCCAGGCATTCAGGCCTCCAGCCTGGCTGACGTTCTCTGCGCGCCCCAAGCCCCCAGACACACCTGACGTCCTATGAGCACTCGCTGGCCATGGTCCCTCTGCCAGGCCTCACCAGCTGCAGGCGACTGGGGGAGTTCATCTCAAGGTTCCACAAATCAGGGATAGAGGAATGATGCCTGGGAGAAGGTGAATCCCAGTCTTACACCCGCAGAAGTCTAGGGCTGCCGATTCAGCTGAAGAGAAAACAGGAACTCGGACACAGGGCTCCAGCAAACTCCTCCACACTCCACAGTGCATCTGTCCAGAGGACCAAGACAGGCGAGGAGACGCAGCTCCAATTGGGGAGCAAGAGGCTAGAACCCCAATAAAAAAGTGAACTGATATTTAGGTGACGGGGGAAAAAATCAGTGAACCACCAGCAGCTCTGGGAGTGGTTCTGAAGATACTCTCCCCGCCCCACCCCTGGCTCCCCCGGGATGGTGGGACAGTCTTGGGGTTCCCCGGGCTAGCCGGTGGCCCCGGGGCCAGTACAAACACCTGACAGCGAACCCGCCCAGGAGTCGGCCCCTGTGGACTGGACTGTGGAGGAGCCGCCCTGGCCGGCAGGGGACAGCAGGGTCAATCGGTCGCTCCTCTCCCCTTGAAAACAGAAAAGCCTCTCTTACTGCGTTTCAGAGGAACAGTTAACTTTAAGGGGTACAGTCAATGGGAAAATTCACCTTAATTTCTAGCTCAAAAAGTTCCCCAAGGAAAAACTCTGGAACGGTCCAGGAGACATCACTGGGGTGAGGCCCAGCATGGAGCCAAAGGTCACCCTTGCCACCTCCCGTGTGCAAATTCCGCAGCCTCGTTTCATCTGGGGCTGAAGCCAGGCATGTTTTCCAGTCAGTCAGTGCATTCAGGGATCCGGCAACGTTCCGGCCACAGGGTGGGCGCGGGACTTGGACACGCTAACCCGTAAATCCCACAACAGTCCGTCAACCTCGGACAATAGTGTCCTGTAGGTACGACTTTTGAACCAACTGATAAGGGGTGAGTGCAGCTCTTCTCAAATTTTGTAAAATGCTAATAACATTTAACACTTACTAGGGCCTACTATGTGCCAGACACTGCTAAACACCGAATCCTCACAAAACCCCTAAGTGCTAAGAGAGCTACGTAATTTTTTTTCCTGCATCTGAGACTACAGCTAGTTTGGCCGTTTGCTATAAAAACTTGGCTTTCCACTTCTGGTTGAAGCCAACAGGGATGAGAGGGACTGGCCCTCAGCTTTAGGACATCCCACCTTCCTTCCTCAGGAAGCTGAGTCTCTGTGCCCATCAGCTCTTCACACGGAAGCGCTTGTGGGCCCATGGGGATGGGTGGAAGAGGAATGAAGCCAATGTGGAAACTAAAGTGTTTTAAAATAAATAAAACAGTCCAGGCTTTGGATAGCAACACGTGTAACAGAGCCTGTCGTTAGCAAAATAGACTTTTAAAAAACCAAGGAGTTTGGGGGCAGGGGAGGGGGTGGTCATGTCCTGATGACACACACAATCCAGGTAAGCCACCATGGAGAGTGGGTGGCCTGCCTTGGTCTGGTCCACAAACACCACCCGCCTGTGAACAGCACAGTTTCAGTCGACCTTTCACATTCACACATGCGCTACCGCTGAGGCAGGGGCTCTCCTCCCAGACGAAACCCCGTGCTAAGGAAACAAAAGGGGGTGCATATTCTTCCCCCTTCGTGATGTCCAGCAGATCCAGTGTCTGGGGGCCAGTGCTACCCAGGAGCTCAGCGGGCCCTGCTTCTTTGCAGTGCAACCCCTCAGCCAGGGCTGGCACCTGCCCTGCCACACCTCACCACATGCCTGGTGGCAGGGAGCCCAGGCCTAGCGGCAGGCAGCAGTCCCCGGCCCAGACGTGACCAAGTGGCCTGGGACGGTGTGGGCTGGTCTGGAGGGAGCCAGCACTTCTCGGGGTTCTCACCGCTTCAGGGGGGTGAATGTGCATATACGTGCTGGCCTAGGGCGCTGGAAGGGCGTTTCCGGTGCCCAGCTGAGCGTCCACAGTGACACAAGGACAGGTCCTATCTCCAAGCTGGAGGAATCTGCACCAGATTCCAAAACCAACCCCAAAGAAAAGTGAAAAGGCACCTCAGAGAAACAATAAATATCAAACAGATTTGCAACATTCCCAAACATACAGCAAACACAAAAAAGGCAAACTATACGCAGTGACAAAAACCCAACGTAAGCAAAGACGCAAAAAACCTCTCCCTTTGTTCAAGTGCAAGTCCAATTACATACGCGGAGTAAATGAGGTGTCCACTGACATTAAAAGCAGTGTTTCCCCTTTAGGAGCTTTTACTCCTGAAAGTCTTTACATGTCAAAGGAAGGCTTTCTCTCTTTTAATAAATTAGATAAATGTTTCCCCTCAAGTTTATTTTTTTAGGAATTTAAGATCACAGTGGGGGGAAAACGCTAGATTTCACTTAGGAAGAAATGTACAAAAACTTACAGGCCAGGTAAGGTGTGCTCATAGCCAGGGAGACGGGTCCGGGCGTAGGCCCCAGTGTGGAAGTGTCTCCAACCACAGGTTGGTTTAGGACTCTGTTAGGAAAAATCGCCCACACTGAGTTGCCCTCCACCCAAGGCAGGCAAGAATCAAGTCCCTACTGGTGTGGACCACTGCTGACCTGACTTGGGCCAAGTTGGGGGAGTGGGGGGTGGCGGCCAGTACCTGTCCAGCGTCACTGCCTCTATTGATACAGCCTTCAATAACTGGGGTGCAAGTCAGTGTGCCCCAGGAGCAGCAGACCCCTCTCTCTCCCCATGGAACTGCCTCACCTCAGCCAACACTGGGCTGGCAGAAGCTGAGGCACCTAATGGGGAAGGTGCCCTACTGGGCACCTGAGCTGAGGCTCCTGACACAGGGGTGGGAAGGTGGGAGGCCCTGAGCTTGGGCAGCCAGCAAGCATTTCTAGAAGCTTCTGGAACACAAGGCAGGCACCGAATCTTTCCACAGAATGTAGCTTCCTAGTTTCCACACTCTCTGAGTCCCTGTGCTGGTTTAATAAACAGCTCTCCGCAAAATGGGTTGCTGAGCTTGGCAAACAGGTCTCGGCCCGCAGGCGCCCCCTGCTGGTCGGATGCCTGCACTGACAGCCTCACCATTGGGAGCTCCCAGAAGGGCCCAGGAGAGGGCAGCACGGGCCCAGGAATTGTAGGCCTGGGAGCTCAATCCAATTCCCACAATTTAGGGTGCGGCCAAGAGGACCATTCAGAGAGAAAAGCAATTCCTAACAGCAAGGAAGGCAGTTGTTGCCCCTCCTACCGCAGGTAACTGCCCTTGCAAAGCTTAAAAGAACACACACCCACACTCACTCACATCCTATTACAAGTTTCCTTTCTTGTGTCCTTGCTGCTGGGCCCCGGCCTTCCCATCAGCACTCTCCCTTGCACATGTGTTCAGGGGTCACCTGAGGGGTGGGGGAGGCCCTGGCTGCCCTCCTACCCCCTCCGTTCTCTAGGATTGGAGCTAGGATTCAGACACACTGAGAGTCGAAGTGAAAAAGGCCAGCTGTGCATTTGGTGCTATTTGTGCACGAGGGAAGAACTGAGAAGAGGCAGAATCTAACTCCCCACACCTAAAGGCGCCGCACTCCCTCTGTCCTCCTGAAACAGAGTCCTTCCTTTAGTCTCACTTCTCAAAGGCCCACCCGCCATTCATCTTGCCAGCTCTTTGCCAGCCGAGGCGGGGGCGGCTGCCCGAGGGCATGCAGGGTGCTGGGAGGCCAGGGCCACCACCGAGGGCTGGGTGGACTCCAACTACTCATAACAGGGAGACTCTAAGAGGGAGGAGAGGGCTCACTCTTACCGCGTGGGGATGCCAGGGCTTCCTAGGAAACATACACTCAAAGCACTGGAACTGCCTGGTGGGGGCGGGGAACCCAACAAAGCAGAGCGCAGGGCCTGGAAGGGGGGGTTCCAGTGAGTCTGACCAGGCCAAGCTACCAACGGGCTCATCCCTCAGAATACTGGTGCCTGGGCTGAGAGCCACCCCACCCCCACCCCACCCCCACCCCCCCACAGGTGATCGGCTAGTACAGCAACTCATTTTCACTCTGCCCTGCCCCTGCTCCCCCCGCCAACAAACATCAAGTTCGCCCAGAGCCCCATTCCCTGGGCTATGGAGGTTCCAGGCATTCAAAGGAATGTAATGCAAGCCCAAGGTTTGGATCCCAGCTCCAGTGGTGACACCAGGCCACAGGGGCCAGTTCACTCATCCACTCCCACCTCAAAGACAACGCTTGTAAGGGGTAAACATCATGACTAAGTCCAAGGGTAGTAGCTCTTTCGGTCCTGGTCCTGCCTTTCGAGATTTACCACCAACCCCCAGATGTCAATTTCCCAATCATGTACTTCGTTCCCTGGCTGGGTTGTCCCCCCACATCTGGGGGTGCCTGTTCTGTAGCTGCCACCAAGCACACACACAAGATTTTCTTCTCTTCTGTCACCATCTGCTTTGAGGAGCGAGGTCCCCACAGTGCACCCCGCCTCTCCCTCCTGCACCCGCCTGAAGGGGACAGAAAACTATTACAGTGAAGGTGGACGGTAAACAGTGGGAAATCAAAGAAACAAGACCTGTGATCAGTTCCTGTTTGCCCTCCCCTGGCACCCTCCCCCTCCCAAATAAATAAGTTAATGGATTTAGGAATGTTCCCATACAAAGTTCTTGCCAACCAGCTCAGTTCCCCCTCTGGTTTTGTTTTGTTTTAAATGAATCTTGAGATTCGCGCTCTACCCTGGAGCAAGTGCATTGAGGGATTCTCCCTGCAGTTGCTCCTCAAAAAATAAAGTTGTGCCAGGAAGAGCAGCCAGGCTCCCGGCCTGACGCCTGCCCGCCTTTGGTTTTGGTGAAAATGCCGCTGTGATGCGCTGACCACAGCAGGAGTGATACCACATCGAAACCTTCCACCAAAAAGTTCAGGCTCTGGCGAGAGTCCCTGAATGACACCTGCCCCCTGGCTCTGCCAGGACGGGGCTGGAGCCGCTGTCTTCCCAGCACAGTGTGTGCAGGGCCAGCTGGTGGCCGCTAGAGACAGTCTTTGCAGAGAGCCACCTGGCCCTTGATGAAGTCCCGGCAGGGGCAGATCCTCCGGTGCCTGGGGTGGGCGCCTGCACAGCTGAACAGCAGGAGGTCACCTTGAAACACACAGTGCTTGTTCTTGGGGTCAAAGGAGGGCACCAGGATGTCCTTGGCCAGCTCTGAGCTTTGGCAGATCACCTCGTACCTGGAGAGGAAGAGAAAAGCACAAGGTTGGAGGTGCACGGACTGTCCTCCTCACTGGCTCCTCAGCCCACCTCCTCAATGTGGGGAGCATGGTTGCTTCTCCTGCTGTAAAGAGACAGCAGCCAGTACCCTCTGACCCAGCAAGCCTCCACCCTCTGACCCAGCAAGTCCCCACCTTCTGACCCAGCAAGCCTCCACCCTCTGACCCAGCAAGCCTCCACCCTCATAGCCAGCAAGTCCCCACCTTCTGACCCAGCAAGCCTCCACCCTCTGACCCAGCAAGTCCCCATCCTCTGATCCAGCAAGACTCCACTCCAGGGATGGGGCTAGAGAGAGGTGTGTGCCTGGATGTGTGTGGGGACGAATTCAAGGCTGCTTGTGAAGACTGTATGTAAGCGTGAAAGTAAATAACCCAAACACCACGTGGGGAGTGGGGAAATCAACTTGGCGAATGTGCTTTGGGAGTTCTAGGCAGCCCCTGAAACAGGATGAGGAGCAAATGCAAGTGGCAGCGCGGAGCTGTCCTGCAGGAGGCAGGTCGCAGAACAGGAGGCACAGCGTGACCCAGCCCCACCTGTGTGTTTGTCCGTGTGCGCATGTGAGTGGGTGAGGGTATGGGTGTGTAAGAACGTGAGTGAGTGTGTGTGATGTATGTGTATGTGCAGGTGAGTGGTTGAGAGCATGAGTGTGTAAGAACGTGTGTGGTATATGTGTGTGTGCATGTAGTGGGTGGGAGTATAAGTGTGGAAGAACTGTGTGTGAGTGTGTGTGGTGTGTGTATATGCGTGCATGTGACTGGTTGAGAGCATGGGTAAGAACGTGTGTGTGGTGTGCGTGTGCAAGTGAGTGGGTGAGAGTATGAGTGTGTATAAGAAGGTGTGTGTGTGGTGTGTGTGTGTGTGTAAGAGAATGTGAGTGTGTGTAATGTGTATATGTGAGACTGTGTGTGTGTCTAAAAGCCGAGAAGGCTATACATTAAAACCTTAACAATGGTTACTTCTAAGGAGTAAGACTGGGGCAAAATCGTGTAAAATTTAAATACAGGGTGTCCCAAAAAACTGCATATACATTTTAAGAGCTGATAACTCAATTTTGAAAATGAAATGATTTTAATAAACACTACCTTTATAATTATTCAAAGTGTGTGTACCTTTTGGACACCCCAATTTTTACAGCTATGTTGAATGTTTTTATTGACGGCTCACAAAGATTCCAGCTGCATGGCCTTGGTCTCTGCCGCAGGAATCATCTCCCTGGTACCCTGCTAATAGAGGGAGGTGCTGCTCTGGGGCGTGGCTCACTGGACCTCTGCAGCCATGGCAACAGCAGTGCCCTCCCCTTCCCCCCAGGTAAGTGCGAGGCCTCAGGACTGCAGGGAGGAGTCTAAATCCTGACCTCAGCCACTGCTCCTGCTCCTCTGCCATCTCCTACAGCTGGCTTGTCTGTGGGCTGCAGACCCAGTGGCTCTGCCTCTCCGGCTGGGACACTGCCTGGGCCCAACACTGCCGGCCTCTGTCCCAGAGAGGGGCCATGTCTTCTCCTCCTGCCCCTTGGGCACCAGGTGTCCAGCCTGGTGCCTGCCTACCACGTGGGGACAGTTCAGAGAAGAAGGTCCAGGCGGCCAGGCAGACCTGTGACCCTGGACCCATGACGGAGCCTCTGTGAACGGGGGTAGATAATTCTTAACCACGGGAGGTGCGGGAATGACAGCAGCACCTCAGAGCACTGGGCAACGTCTAGCGCTGGGGGAGGTCTCAGGAAGTGGGAGCTGCTGTCACAAACATCATCGCCATCATGGTCCTCTGCCTGGCAGACATTGGGTGGGCTAGGCCGCTGGCCTCCCTGCCCACAGTGTGAACAGAAACACAGGATAACTGTCTCAATTTTCCGACATTCACAGAAGTCTCAATTCCTGCGGACAGGGGAGGGTCCAGCTGGGGACCCCGAGGTTTCCTGCTGTCCCTGCAAAGCTTCCAGGTCCCCCTCCCCCAGGCCCCATTCCTCCAGCCCCCTCTTGTCTTCCTCCAGCCAACTAACACCCTCCCTGGCCCCGCCCTTGCCAATCGTAATCAGGTGATTTCCAGGGCATCTGGGGATGCTGGTGGCTCTTGGGGCTGCCAGCCTGGCGCTCGCTCGGTGCTGGGGAGGGCAGCGCTCCCTCATATCTCACCCCTGCAGTCGCCAGTGGGCTCTGCGACTTCCCTAAATCCCCCATCACCTCTCCTCTTGGCACACCAGCCAGGAGGTGGAGGCATGCAGAGGGTTAAGATTGTGGAGCAGCAAGGCGAAGGCAGGAAGTGGGGTTTTATGGCTTGCCTAAAGGAAAAGCGAACAGAGATTCAGGGTTTCCAAGCCTACGCAGGCTATCCCAGCTGCCAACCCACCGCGAGGGGTCTCCGAGCTCACATGTGCACTCAAGTTTCCACATGGAACGCGGCCTGGGAAACAGTATGCTCCAGCTCTTTGTTTAGGAGGATGATAGCACCTGCTGTATTTTGAGTCATCTGCCTGGTACCCTGCTAAGCAGGAGCATGGAAATGTCTGCAACTCACCTCAGACCCCATGGCAGGGGCTGTCACTGTCAGTGGCCACAAAGAACCCTCCAGCTCCTGCCCTGGTCACCTGGACTCAGACCCCAGGCTCAGTCTCCTGGTGTGAGCGCATCTCACCGGGGTGGTCGTGGGAGCAGCCTGCCTGCCCAGGGATGGTGTTGGAGACCACAGTCTTCCCACGGTCCAGGGTGTGGCACAGCTCTGGCCACCTCTGGATGCCACCCACCTGCTGGCCCCAGGGAGCACTCCCTCCTTCAGCGGCAGGGCCCTGCCCCACAACCCTGGCTGCACAGGAAGGCCATGCCATCATTCCTGCTTAACTGGTGAGCGAATTCACCAGAGAGGTGAGGTGACTTTCCTAATCCTTGGAGTGTACCCAGAGCCCAGATGGCCTCCACGGCCCGCAATCCCCTCTCCACTGGGGACCCTTCCTTTCCAGGGCATGCAGCCACTGTTCCAGCCTCTGTATTCCTGTGATGTCTGTCACCGGACACACACACCCATTCTTGCTCACACACCCTCACACCTGCGCGGGGACCCTGGTGTGGTCTAGTTTCCCTCCTGCAGGGTGCTGCCTCTCCAGCTTCTCTTACAGGGCAGTTAGGGCTCCTGAGGCCCAATGCCTCGGTTTACATTTTATGGCTCTGGAAGAATCAGAGGGCAAAGGCCCGCCTCCCCATGGGCCCCTGACTTCCTGAGAGGACAGAGCTGCTCATCCCCCTGACACACGGGTACACACAGGGCGAGGGGCCATAGCCGGCCTAGCCCTCCCATCGTCCCTGTCCTGGAGTTCCTCCCTCCCCCACCCGCCATCCTGCTACTTCCAAGTGCCCCAAGCTCCCCTTGACCATTCTGACTCAGGGCCACTCCCTCTTCTCAGGCACCAAAGCTTAGTTAAAATCCTCCCAAACTCAATAATCTAATATTTTACGAGATACAACTTGAAAAGGAAGCCAAATCACAAACAAGGTCTCATGTGAACACACGTTCCGACTTACGGAGCGAGGCCCTCCCCACAGGGCTCCCCTGGCCTGGACTTGGTTCATCCCAGGGTGTCTACCCATTTTGGTCAGAACTGCGCACGCTGAGCTGGTCCTTGCCCCTGCAGCACGCACACCGTGCCCTGCCTGCACCGGAGCTCAAGACCAGCTGCCGATTCCCGATTCAAGGTGATGGCATGGGATGCTCCAAAAGGCTCAATTCATGTCACAATCCAGGCCCGCAAGGTGGAGCAGGAAAGGCAGTGCTGGCGTGTGGAGCCCCTCACTGCTAACTGGCCATGGACATGGGTGGGCCAGGGCGCCTGGTGCTGAGGAGGCACTAACAGCTGGCAGACAGCTGGGGTTTTACAACACTGTCAGCATTTACAAAGCAGGCACAACGCATCCAGTAGGGCCCTTACGTTCAGAGAATTAACTGCAGGCAGCTTTATTGCAATGTTAGCATTCCCTGCAGGCTCCCAAGAAGAAACCCACATGGCTACAACGGGCGTCGTTAGGCACTCCCATGGCACGGGGCCTGGCTCTCTTGGCTCCTCCTGGTGACCTGGGGCCTGCTCCCCCACCCAGAGCTCTGGCTGCACATCATCTCACCATCACCCAGGATGTCCCCATTTCACAGATGAGAAAATCGAGGAGACAGAGGGGACTAGTCCATTGGCTCCCCTTCCTGTCTCCTCACCGGACCTAGGCCTGTGCCCGGGGGAAAGGCATGCTGTGTGGGGCCGCGATCACGGGACCCGGGCGGCAGCATCCCTGTTTCTTGGGGACAGGTTGGGGGCATTTAGACAATTCTGGGTGGACAGTCCCTAGTCTGCCCCCAGCAAGTCCAGGCTCTGATGCATAGACACTGGGGGTTCTCAGAAAGCCACTTTGCTGCTGGAGCTGTTCCTAAGACAAGCCGGGAGGAAGCCCCTGGTGGACCCCAGAATCTGGGATGTGTGCTGTGGAAATGGAAGCTCCTAGGACCATTATCGGCTTCCCATAAACCCCAGAGCACCACTCCCTCTCCCAGACTTCACCACAGCAGCACTGCACTGACTGGCCCCGCCTGGCCTTTAGGTTGATGGGGAGCCAGGGCAGCCTCAGAACCTGGTCTGGGCAGGAAGAGAGCATCCGTCTCCCACGTCCCTCCTCGGCAGGGCTTCCCTGCGGCTGAGACGCCAGAGCCACGTGCTCTTCTAGAATGGGTTTATGCTTGAGAGTAATGACCAGGCCAGCTCAGACAACTGTGCACGGTGACCATGGTGGCCGACCTCGTTCTCCGGCAGGCACGAAGCCAGAGTGGGGCCAGGCACGCCTCGCTCCAGAGGCCACTGTGTTCCTTAAACACCCTTTGAGACAGGGACAGACCACTGCTCTGCGGAGGGGGCCATGAGTCAGAGGTCAAAGAAACCTCCCATGGAAATTTGGGAACTGCAACTGCCAAACTCAAAATGCCAATGCAGAGGCAAGTGAGTGGCGTCGGTAAAAACAATGCAAGCACGAGGGCAAAAGCTCATGCAATCCAGACGGCCCCTCCTGGGTGCAGGCTGGCCCAGGTTCCCGGTGCCCACCACACCCACCTCCTGCCGAGGGACCTGGCAGGGTCAGGCCTGCTCATACTAGAGGAGCTGGACAAACATGCAAACAGGGACGGGCTGCAAGAGGGGAAGGTGGCGTGGACTTTGCTGTAGGCAGTTCTTGCCAGCTCCTTGCCCATGTCTCTCCTTCCTTCCTCACTCTAGGGCACAAGGCTCACCCGACTCCTGCATGTCAGACTGCTGTGGTTCTGTGCCCACCTCCGCTCCTATGGTTCTCGGCTATGACGGTAGCAAAGTGAACACCTCCCACAATCTTCAAGCTCAGACATGACATTACTTATGCAAATAAAATGCCCTCATTCGAATTCTAAATATATCGGCATGCCAGGTGACCTCATCCACCTAACAATAAAAATGCCGCTAACTTTCTCTGGGGGGATTGCGCTGCAACCTGCTCACCTCCCCACATCTTTCCCCACAGCCCACGAGCCTGGAAACAGAACCTCATCCTGCTCTGGGCCACCCCGCCCCGCCCCGCCCCGCTCCAGCACTCACTTCAGCAGGTCCTTGTCCTTGTTCAGGTGCTGGAAGAAAGATGGCTCACAGATGAGCTGGTTCTCCTGGCATACCTGCTTGCAGGACTGCCCGGGCTCAGCGAGCTTCACCTGCAGGGCACTGAGGGGCGGCCACATCACCTGCCCGTGGCAGAAGTCCTGGAATGACAACAAAGCCATCAGCCAAGGGATCAGAGCGCAACTTGCAACCCCCAGCCTGCCAAGCAGCCCACAGGGGAGGCGGCTGCTGCCAGGGAACAGGGAAGGGGAGCCTTGGTTGGGCTCAGGGCTTGTTGGCTGAAAACAGTTACAATGCCGTCCTAATTCAACAGCTAGGGAAACTGTCTGAGGACGTGTGGTAGGACGTGAGGTAACCTGCACCCCATCAGGGAGGCACCCTGGCACAGGTGTGGGAGCTCAGAATGGGGCAGGGCCTGTCGTTTCCGGGATCTAGAGGGAGTGGAGGAAACTAGCAGGTCTAGGGAGGACCCGGGTGGGCTGGGCTAATGCAAACTACTTTGTTTATATACCTTCAGGAGACATCTGATAACTTCGACAGCCTTTAAGTATTAAGATAAGTAGATTTTAAATCCAACGTACACCAAAGCCTACTGTGTGAGTGCATGGGCTAGGGCCTAGACGCTAGGCAAACAACCAGAGAAACCTGGGTCAGACCAGCCATCTACATCACTAGAAGCCGCGTGAGAATTTAACCCTGGATTGGATTCAGGGCGGTCCAACCCTGGATTAGGCTGGGGAACTGGAAGTCCTCCAAGGCTGGAGGCTCCAATACTGGCTTTAGAGCTTTTTTTTTTTTTAATGTTTTTATTGATCTCAGCGAGGAAGGGAGAGGGAGAGAAACATCCTTGATGAGAGAGAATCATGGATCAGCTGCCTCCTGCACACCCCCTGCTGGGGATCGAGCCTGCAACCCAGGCATGTGCCCTGACCGAGAATCAAACCGTGACCTCCTGGTTGATGCTCAACCACTGAGCCTCGCTGGACGGGCATAGAGCTTTTCTTAAAAAAACAAACAAAAAACCCACAGAATGTCTTTCCTTATATGACACCTACAGGCAGTTAGAAACTTTGCTCCTTATTCATTTTTAGCCTCTTGTGGTATGGGAAGTAGTCCCAGGAGTAAAATAAATGAGGAGAAAGACTCTGCCATGTTAGATTAGGTGATGTGGCCAAGGAAGGCACTTCAAGTTAGGAGGCTGGATCTGACGCTGTCCCTGGGGTGCTCTGGGCACGCTACCCAGTCTGGTCTGGGCTCCATCACTCATCTGTGGAAAGTGATGCTGACTTAGCGATGGAGCTGAGCGGAAGGCTGGCAAACAGCGGGTGGACCACAAGTGCTCACCCCTCTTCCTGTCCCTCGTAGAGGAGATGCCTGTGCATCTGAGAAGCGGGGGCTACATGGCACCATGAAGTCTGCACAAAGCAAGTGCCCTCAAAGCTCCGCTGCAGGGGGCTCTGTCCCATCTGCTCACTTCTCAGTAGACCACTGCAGCCGACCGCCTCCACGTCCCTTCCATGGAGAGCTCAGCGCAAGTACACATGCACACGGGCCCCAGGCATGCTTACTCAGGTTCACTGGGGCTGGCCTGGCATCCTCTCAGAAGTCTGTTTTGGGAGCCAATAGTAAAAATAGCAGCAGGACCTTCTTAAGACTTAAAACTGAAGTGAGGAAGGCCTGAAGGTGTTCCTAGTAAGCATGGGACCAGGTAAGGCAGGAGTGTGGGGATCTGGGTTACAATTATAGTCCCAGCTGGGGGACTTCACTGACATCCCTTGAGCTCTCTGCCTGCTATCACATCTAAAATGGATAATACCACCTGTCCTTCAGTCCTTATGTAATTCCTGTGAGCTAAAGTGAGGCGGCTTTTAAGAGGCACCTAGAAATGTTAAGGGTAATATTCTAAGGTCGACCATTACTTGCTGCCACAGTCCAGAGGTAAGAGGTCGAGTTGCCTGGAGTATGTATGACAATTTCTCCATGAGAGCCATCCCTTTGCCCAGGCCCCTTCACAAGCTTCCTCTCACTCCCGGATCAAGGCCCCGGGAGCTCATGGGAGGCTGGAGGTCTTGTTTCAGTCAACCAACCTCAGCCTAGGCTACCATGGCAATGCCAACCGGTCTCTTCACCGTAAGCATTCGTCCACTCACTCACGCATTCATTTATTCACTCACTCATTCATTCACTCATTCATTCAACAAAATACTGGCTAGGAAGCAGGAAAGCATAAGGGTTCAGAACTCAAACTGCCTGGGCTTGAATCTAGCTCCTCCACTTACTAGCAGAATGATCTTGGCTAGTTACATAATCTTGTCTCATTTTTTGCTGTAAAATGCAGAAAATACCAATTTTCTAGAGCTGTAGAGGGAATTACATTAATTATAATTCGTAAAGTGCTCAGAAAGGTACCTGAGATAAACAGCTCTTACTGTCACTATGTGCAAGGCACTCTCCTAGGCCCTTGGGGGTGATTCAGTGGAAAACTAAAAAGGAACCCAAACCCCTGCCTTCATATAGCTTATCGTCAATGAAGGAGACAGAAAAACCGAGAAATGAATTATAAATAATATGTTAAAAGATAATAAATGCTCTCAAAAGAATGAAGTGAGGAAAAGGGATGGAGATGTGGGGGATGAGAGGGTCCAGATAAGGCATTATGGAGGTGACATTTTAATTAATTAGTTAATTAATTAATTAATTAGTTTATTTAGAGGGAGGAGGAGTGGGAGGGAGGGAGAGGTAGAGGGAGAGAAAGAGATTTGTTGTTCCACATATTGATGCATTCATTGGTTGATTCTTGCATGAGCTCTGAAGGGCGACCAAATCTACAACCTAGGTGTATCAGGACCACACTCAAACCAGTTGAGCTACCCAGCCAGGGCCAAGAAGGTGACACTTAAGAAAAGACAGGAGGAAGTAAAAGAGGGAGCCACACAAGTATCTGTGAAAAACATTCCGGACAGACGGAAACCAAGACCAGAGGCTCTGATGGAGTGTCAAACAGGTTCCAAAAGGAGCAGAGAATTCCGTAGGTTTGCGCAGTGTGTGTGTTGGGGGCCAGAAGTAGGAGACAGGGTCTGGGGGGAGGGGGTTCCAGGGATCAGCACACACAGAGCTTTGGGGTCCAGGTAAAGCTTTGTCTCATCCTGAGTGAGACGGAGCCACTGTGGAGTTCTGGGAGGGGAGTGGGGCAGGACAGAAAGAAGCTGGGGAAAACCCTCTCGGGGGAGTGAGGAAGTGGGAGCCCACATCACATCATAGGCAGGTAAACTATCAAAGGGAAACAGTTTGTGGCGGGGGTGGGTAGTCGCAGAAGTCAACAACAGCAAGGACTGGCGAAAATCAGGTCAATCCAAGATGGAGGAAAAATTGATCAGAGACCGACCCTAAAGCTCATTATACCTTCATTATAATGAAAACTGACGGGGCCAAAGCCAGGACACTTCAGAAAGGACCATATTTGTGTAGGAACAAGGTCCCCCTGCCCCAACCAGAGGTGGAGGCAGAATCTGGCACCAAGTTCAGAAACAACCCCGCCTTGGAGACACATAAACACATCCCAAGCACTGACTGGCCAGGCGCAACTCACTCTCGAGTTCGCCGTGGCCACTGGGATGTGTCCTTGCGCTTCTTTAGCAGGCGCCTTCCCTCCCAGATGCCCACACAGGAATGCACAACCAGGGGAGCAGTGGGTGCAGTCAGCTCCGGGCTCACCCTCATCCTGTCTCCAGGGACCTCGACCTGGCCTCTTTCTCTCAACCTAAATAAAACCTGCTTTCCTTCTCACTCGGACTGGCTCTTGAATTCTCTCCTGGGAAATCAAGAACCTACAGGTGGTGGAGTCCATAGGGGTCCCACTTCAGATCTCCGCCCCCTCCCCCCCACCCCACGTGACAGCAGAGTGGCAGGATCTGCTGTGCTGAGATCAGAGAGCAGGAGCACAGCAAAGGCAGAGGCAAGCAGCTATGGGGCTATGGGACCGTGCAGCAGGGAGACCATGGCTTCAGACCAGACTGGCTTCTCTGTTCAGCAAACCTTCATCACTCATGTCTCACAGGCTGGCTTTGAAGGCTTTCTCATCATCCACTCAAAACTTTACAAATGACTGTTCAAATCTTCCCGAGGTGCAAGAAACAGGAACATGAATGAAGCACAGGCTCTGGCTCAAAGGCTCCGTGCACAGTAAGAGAGGCCAACATGAACAAAATTAAAGAACAGTACAAAACAGACGTCCAAACAGGAATGCACCAGTCACTCAGAGGAGAAAAAGAATGAACTCTGGGGGGAGGGGAAGGGTGATGGTGGTAGCGATCAGAGAAGGCTTCCAGATAATAGGGGATTTTAGATGGGTTTTATAGGCTGAATAGGAGTTAGTGGCTTATCACTAACAGGGTGCTTTGCAGATAACTGGTGCTCAATAAAGGGCTGTTGAACTGAATTTAATGATTTGGCATCTTGGAGCTTCGACAGAAGTAGAACAATATTGTAACCAAGAGAGGCTTTATACACACAGAATGAAACATAAATAGTAATTTCCAATCTGGTTAATGAGCCCACTCAGAACACAGAACAATTATTTCAACCAGTCACCAAATTTCCCTAAATTTGCTTGACTATTCTGAAAATTTCCTGCAGTAATTGTAATGAGAAGGGTTTATTAACACAAATTTATAGAAAAAGCAATGTTCTGAACAAATGAACACAACTTATTGCAAAAAAGTTAAGGGTGCTGCTGCTTTTGTAACAAAGGCTAAGTGACAGCAATGGTGACGACATTATTCAAAAAAATACCAAGAGAGCTAGAGAAGAGGGCGTGGGCTCCTCCCCAGAGAGAAGCCCTCGGTGGAGGGGCAGTCCCTCCCTTGGGTGTAGAGGATGGGATCCTTTCCACAAGCTACCCAGTCCAACCAAACCCTTAACAGGGTTACTCATCCATGACATATCAGGTGCAAACAGATTGTCTGGAACCAAAAAGATAGGTTCAGATATAGATCTGGAGGCAGGATTAAGAGTAAGTAAGGTCAGGAATTTGTGAAAAAAAGGGGGAGGGAGTGGGGACAAGTTCTAGGTCATGAAATTGGGGTTCAGGCCAAGTTCGGCCAGTTATTTGAAGGGTAAGGGACACATTTACTATTTATGT